CAGCATACTGTGATAAAAACATCATAAAACATCAACGTTTTAGTATAGCCCTTTCACTTTGGGACAAGCTGTGCTCTTTGAGTTCTTTAGTTAAAGTTTGGTTCATTTGTACTCTAACAACGACTTGACCAAGGCCCTAATCCAGGAAGCAATTTCAGTATGCCCATATGCTGAATTTACCCTAAACAGTTACCATGAAGTCATTTCAGGGTTTTCTCAGCACGTTCACATGAAAGGGAAGGAACTGCCAGCATCTGACCAATTACAAAGGCGCGTTTCATAGATCGCTGATATGACTCTTCTTCCAAAGAAAATTATCCCCTTGAGTGTCACCTACTCCAGAGATTGTCATGGTACTGGGTTGTGTGACCTAGTATGTGGGTTTTTAACGCGTCATTTTGTATTCATTGATGTTCTAGTTTCGGTTTGGCTCATCTAGTTAATTTCCAGGTTGCTGTTTAGTCCTTTGTTTCTTAAATTCCTTTTGTCATCTCCCCCTGTACTCAGTCTCCCTGGTTCGTGCGCCTACCTGTCATGTGTCATGTCTGTGTGGCTCTTGTTGTCAAGTTTGTTTCATGTCTATGTCACTGTGTTTCCTGTTTTATTTTGAAAGAGTCTGGTGTTCTTTTTTCACTGCATTTAGTTTTACTCTCCCCTGTGTTGTCATTATGTTTCATTCTAGTGTCCTCACGTGTCTCCACTTCCTCTGATCACCTCATGTGTGTATGTAGTCCTCAGTCTTGCTGTGTTCAGTGTCATGTCGTCTGTGTTATCTCCCCTATTCCTTGTCACGGTTTCCCAGTCAAGTCCCAGTAAGTCATAGTTTATGTTGTTTAGTTATAGTATAAAATCACAGTAAGAGTCATAGTTTCCCGGTCTATGTTCAGGTTTTCCCTCAGATTCTTTGTTTTTTTCTGTGACTTTTCAGCCCTAAATAAAGGCTCGCCTTTTCTTAAGTCCAGTTTTGTCCCCTTGCCTCTGTCTGCTCTTGGGTCCTCTACTCACTCCACGCGGTCTGCCCTGGCAGTCTGTAACAGAGATATTATCAAATGGTTATAAAAAAAACAAAGATCATGAAAATATATCAGTGAAATGCAACACAGCGCTAAAAAACATGAGAAAATAGGTCATTTGGTGACTGAGTCAATATTTGACCTTTAAAAGCACCAAACATGTACAAAAGAAAAGAGAAAAGCAGTTTTATATCATTTAAACATAAAAACACAGATTTCAATGAGTTTACGTAAGCATGCTGCATAAAAACACATAAATGCATATGCACTGTTGTTTTTAATATTAATTATTAATTGGTAATATCCTTTGCAGCTCCATTTCTCTGCCTAGCCTAGTCCTTATCACCTCCCAGCACTCCTGTACTTTCTTCTTCTCCCCGACTATCCTGCGTTTCTTTCTTTGAATACTTCCTGTTCCTCCTCTTTCTCCTTGGCTAATTTTTTTGCTCAAGTTGATACACCAAATACCTTCATTGCAATGTCCCCTCACCATTTCAGCTGTACTTTCCTAGTCATCTGGTCATTTTTCCTTTCCACCCAGAGCCCGTGTCCTCCCTGAACAATGAGCAACATTCTTCTCTCTTCAGCTTCCAAACCACTTAATTTATGCCTCTGCCTTCACCAGTTTCCTGTTCTTGATTTTCGGAGTCATCCTACGAACTGCCACGAGATACAGAAACATCTTCCCCTGACACCACCTTAGTCTCCTCTCACTGTCAGAATGGGCCTTCTTCTGTAGTCCACCTCTGTGTACTTTATATGTTACACTAGGTTTCTCACTATTGTTGAGATATGTGTTCACCACAGCCGTTTGTATCCTTTTCATAAAACCCACTGTTATCGTTCATTTTTCTCCTTAACACCATATCTATCCAACACCTGATTATCATCTCTGTTGCCTTCACCTGCACCTAAACTATTGCTTGTTACAATCACCACCTCCTGTCCTCACTTCCCTTCCACCTGGACTCCACTCCCCCCCCGCACACACACAGGATCTGCCTTTCTTCTCTAAACCACACCAGCCAGCTCTCTTCCTGTCAGTGTTTGTATTTAAAGTCCAGACTCTGCACTCCCACCTTTTCTTCATGCTTGCTGCTTCTGAAGATGCTTCCCACTTTCCTCTTTGTCTGTCTCGCAGTCTGTCAGAACCCTACTGGTCAGCAGCACTGGAAGCGGCTGTTGTTAATGGGGTTTGACCAATCCTATGTGGAAATCTCATTGTTGATTAATCAAACTTAACCGGCCTTCAGCTCCTGCTTCAAGAGATCCATCCAGTTCAGTCAATCGTGGCAGTCACGGCTGCTACTTCAGACATTTGCCCCATCTGTATGCCCACATCCATAGTATCTGCAGGTCAGCTGGTATCCTCTGGAGGCTTTCTGCCTCTTTCACATTCATTCTACCCAGATCTATACAAGCTGTCTGTATTTATTACTTGTCCATATAAAACACATATGAGTGATTTAAAAATTTATATTAAAGGAAAGGTCACTCATTAAAAAGTTTATGTTTTTATTGATTATTTGACTGTAGGGTTTCTTTGTGGGCAGTCTTCCAGCTTCACTTGAAGGTGTGGCAGCCAAAAGAGTTCCCAGGTGTCTTGAGTGCCTTTTTAATGTTTCCTGGTGGTACCAGGTGATTAAAGTGAGGATTGGATAGCCATATTCCTTTACTGTAGATTGTAGTCGGTAGGCCAAGTGGGATCTATTTATTTAATGATTGTAATTATGGTTATTATGTACACAGCATTGGTGTGATATTAATAAAGGTTATGAGGTAAGAAAGGTGTGTGTAGTTTAGTATGGAACCCCAGATAATGGTATGGCTTGAGGGCCAATTAGCAGCAGTCTATAAAGGGGTGCCAGTTAACATCAGAGGCCGTTGCTGGATCCATGTCCCACCCCTGGGCTACATTGTTTTATTTCATGTTATGTTTTTGGAATTTTAATATAGGTGAATAAACACACCTCATCTCTGCCTCAAGCCTCGTATTTGAACCCAGCCACTACAGGCCATCCTAACAGTGTCCCGTATGAATATGGGGTATAAAGGACAGGGCTCTGTGCTGGACTAAAAACTTGTTGCAGCTGCTGAACCGTGACAGGCTTCATGTAGTGCAGGTTTGTCTTTGGAGTTTTATATTCTGGCAGCTCAGACTGAGCGGAGTGACTCTGTGCTTACAAACTGAACTTGACACCCTTGATGTTACTAAGTCACTTTTTTATTTGTCTTTGAGGGTGTCTTGCATCATTTGCAGTTACTTTAATTATTTTTACTTATTATTTTTTGAGTTGATTTTATTTTGACATTTTCTTGGTTAGTTTCAGTTTCTCATTTTGGTTTTATGTCTCATTTAATCATTTTATGTTTTCCAGTCATTTCAAACCTTGCTGTTGGTATTTTGTGTCTTCTGTCTGATTTTTCATAGAAGAAATATGGTGTTACCTGTAACATAAAACTGGGGCTCTGACCTTTGCCCAGTAAGACCTTCAGTAATTCAAGTGTCAGACAGAATTACTCAACTTTATTTTAGTGTCCTTTTAAAGTCCTCAGAGAGTTCACCGGGTGTGGGCAGGACTAAATACATGATAATAAGATATATTCCTTCATTCTAGATATGTAAGAATTAGTTATGCAATGGAATAGTCAAAACTCTTGATGTGAAGATTGTTCCTTTGCCTTTTAATATGATTGCATTTTAAATTATAAGTGGCACATTTTATTAATTTATTAGTTTAGGAAAGTAATCAATCAGCAAATCAAGTACATAACCTAAAAGACCTGGTAATTCTCTTTTTGCTTTCAAAATTCATTTCAAAGTTCATCAAGCATTATCTTATATCAACAATGCCTATTTAAAAAAAATTAAATTACATTTTTTTTAATTACAGTTTTGTTACAAATCACTTAGAATTACAAGAGTTGTGAAAGACACTCAGTTAATCTATTCTTAAACAAAGAAAAAAAGAGTTTGGGCTGTAAAACTTTATCAGTCATCAGTTTCCAGGCACCAGTTTGGCTGCTGCTTCCAACTCTCTGAGCTTCAGAGGCAGGGTGACAGTAGCGAAGTGGACCCTATCCTTCCTCAATTTCTGTTTCACGGTCTGAGTCGGGCCCAGCTCCATGTACTCCTGGTTCTGCCTGTTGTACTGAGGCCAGCTGACCAGCCCAGGACCATTGGGAGAGCTGGGGATGTCAGTGCAGAGAAGATCATCAGTATATGTTCCCTGCGATTTCATTCTGCAGAAATATCATCATTTCATTTGTATACGGCAACTGCACTCATGTGTGCCCTTGTGGGTTGCATCCTTTAAATATTTCCTACTCCAACCAGCAAATTTACTGCAGTCACCTGTCAGCCACTCACAGCTGATATTAATTAAACTGATTACTTATTGCAATAATTCCTGTCAAGCATTTGGTTCTGGAAGCTGATGTGCTGGAAGGAGAAAAGCTGAGATAAGATATGTTTCTTATATCCCAAAAGAAAAACCTCGATAACATCATGGTGGTAACAGAGATCAAACCCGGGGCCTCATTAGTGCTATTATAGACTTGACCTGTGACCTATTTCCCCTGACAAACTTGCAACCATTAGGTGTTGTATTTGGATCAGACGCCAACCTGAACCTGACTCATAAACCCAGACAGGTTGTTAGTAACAGCAAGCAGATCTGTTGAGGCCAGTCAAGAGTTATCTTTTCTGTTTCTACTATACCGTACATCATCAGCCCTGTATCAGTTGCTACCAGTTGATAGTCAGCATGTCATGAAGGAAGTCAACAGTACAGGGTCGGTAGTTTTGCGGTTTGCAGCCGTTTTTACTCACCCATCTCGGACAAAATTAGCCCAGTATGACATCATCGTCCTGCAAAATCTCTCATCCTCTTTGGTGATGTTGCCTGAAGATGGGACAGTGGAAGGTCAGTCACAAAGCTGCCCTCTGACTTTCAGTCTTCTAAGGTTAAAGCTGATGTATTCTGCCCATTTTCAGCTCAAAAGTTTTATTCTTGGACTCTGATAATCTGGATCTTCTGTCTGAAACAAGCTGGTCTAACTCTTCCCCCTTTGACTGACATAAACAGAGTTGAAACCGCATGTGGGTGGAGCTTCTGTGCTCCCAGCCAGAGCTATGTGCCCGACATGCCCATATTAGGGACATCCATTCTCTGTGACATCATATAGATGCAAGAATAGAAAAAACTATCTGAAAAGGAGCTGTCTTACACCTTTTGGCTCGTAGTGATTACTGTACATGTGCTGACCTCAGTATTTAGAACTTTGGGAATTTTATTTGATTTAAGTCATGCACATCTGACAGAAAAGAAGGGAAAGCAGAATAGGTCCCTTTTAAACAACATTTCATTTTGTAGCCATTTGTTAGCCACAACTTTCCCCCATCAGTGATACAATAAAAATGTATTATAGGGCATATACTACACACACTTACCTAAGATTTTTATATTTCCATTCCAGAAACATCCACCAAACATCAAGCCGACATCATCTGCGTGATCTGCTTTCACAAAGCTGGGCCTGTTATGTTTGTATATCTCAGCCTGGTATGCAAACTCATACATGTAAACTGGAACGCCCACGTCTGAACAGCCAAGGAGACAAAAGATGAGGAGCATGGTTATGCTGGGCTTAAACAGAACAAAGTGAACTTTTCCCCTCACTATTCACTACTGGCACAAAGCTTTGAGGAGCTTCTTTCCTTGCATCAGTTATAGTTGGATTAAAGGAGCAAAAACTAAGCTGACAAATAGGTACACTGATAACCGCAGAAATAAAGAGAAGCTAGCTGCATTGTGAATTGATTTTAACAAGATAAAAGTGTTTATTTTAACCAAAACCACAAACTTTAACCAACCAGCCACTGAAAAACCATGGATGGTCTCTAAGCTCCTGTGCTTGTGTCATCTCTTTTCTATTCCCTGAGTCTGTTTCAGCAGAGAGAGTGTTAGTTCCTGCTGTCGCCAAGTGCTGCTCACTGGAGATCATCTGGAGATCATCTGATTCCTGGGAGTCTCTATTTAATATATTATATTAAATAGAGACATATATATTGTAGAATCGTCACCTTTTTTATATTCATCCATAGCTGCTGTGATGCAGATGCTGTATCGGTCTGTCGTGGTGAAGAAAGAGCTGAGTGCAAAAGCAAAGCCGTCAATCTACATCCCTAGCCTCAGGTTGTGGATCCAAGTGGTGGAAATTAGCTTTCTATAAAGCGTGGCTGGCCTCTCCCTTGGAGATAGGATAAGGCGTTCTGTCGAGAACGGCTCTGACTAGCAGGAAGGGTCTAGTTGGTTCGGGCATCTGACAAGGATGCCTCCCAGGTGACTCCTGGGTGAGGTGTTCTGGGCATGTTCCACCAGGAAGAACCCCGAGACAGACCAAGGACATGCTGAATAGATTACACCCTTCATCTGGCCTGGAAATGCCTTGGCGTTCTCTTGATAAGCCGGAGGAGGTGGCTGGGGATAGGGATGCAACCTGGCCTCGGATGAGTGGAAGAAAATGGATGTATGGAAGCAAGGCCAGGATAGCAGTTTGGGTTTTTTGGTTTTGTTTGGATTTCTGCTCAGGATTTGCTGAGTCCCATTTCACATAATGTCTCTGATAGAGAGGCCCGAGACTGACTGAATGACAGTGTTTCATTTCTGGCACTTATATGTGTGGTTTTGGGAGTCCTTGGAAGTCCACCTGCTCTAATATTTAAATATAAAGGCATGCTGGCTCAGTTAGCCCGTTCTCTAACCTGAGTGGTACCCGGCCACTCGGACAACAGGCAGTGTCATCAGCAGGTCTCCTATGATTTCAGTGAATCCGTCTCTGATCTCCTCTGGAGTTTTAGCATCTTGCAGGTATTCATCTACAATGAGGTTGTTAACAAAGGAGGCCTGGAACAGAGAAACAGGTTTTGAAACTATTAGATCAGGTGAGTTTTATTATAGCGCCTAGTCCTAATTTTAACCTGAGCTCAAAAAAAACTTCACCACAACTTCAATCAAATCATTGAATCAATGATATAAAGAAAAGCTGCCTAGCTGTTGCTGTGCTCACCCCTGGAGGATTAAACATGTTCACCACTGCCAGCACGGTCTCTCTGTTCATGCCATTCTCCCACCCAGGAACGGCGAAGCTCTGCAATCCACAAAAACACAATTTAGATCAAGACTTTAAACAGGAAACACATTAGGAGAGTGGAATCAGCCACAGAGACTGTGGTGTAGAGGTATCTGTGCGACCTGAGGTAAGATCCAGCCAAATTCATGGTTTGTGATTCCCATCAGTACTGGAACCTTCAGCACTTCGTGTTTCTGAAGAAGAGCCTCTGCCAAGTCAGTCAGAAATTCGCCGTCCACCACGGCCCCGAGGAAAATTTTCATCTGCACAGAAGTGACTGTTGATGACTTCCAACAGAGGTCAAATGGATACAGGAAGCTGGAGTTTGCCAGCTGAGAGTGTTTAAATGCTTCCATCTAGTGGCTTTAATTAAGTATTATTCTTGCACGTGATATTAATCTCTAATCCAGCAGGTTTTCACACAATTGGCTTGAACAACATCAGATTCATTGTCTGTTTTTCACTCAGTGAATTCAGAGTACGTCTGCTTGCACGTGTTAACACAATCATTTACCTGCTTTGTTGTGGCTACTAATTCATCTTGACTCTTCCCCTTCATACAACGGATCAGTTCCTCTGTGCTGCTGTGGTTACATCCAATATGGCTCGCAACAATCTGGGTATGTGGGGGACATGAATGACAATCACAAACAACACAATCTCTTGCTGCCCCAACTACACTAACTTCACCCAACTTTAGTGAAGTTAGTGTAGCTTTAACCCTTTCACGCATAGTGGACAGCTATTCAAAGGCTGTTTCCTTGTATTTGTGTCAGTGTTGATGGTATACTTGCACATAAAACACTACATTGGACACTGATGTGTGACTCCATACCCTGCCACCCACTGGTCAGCCAGTGTTGTCCACCTAAGTGGACATGTAAAAAACTCTTTGAAAAGTACATGTTTGAAAAAAAGAGGTTCAAAAATCTTTTTTTCATGAGTAAAGATGAATAAAAATACTTGTGATTGTCATCATTCATCCATGAAAGGGTTAAACTGAGCAATTTCACTGTTACCATCTCGGGATTTCTTTTTTAATTGAACATGGACAATGCATCTATATGCATGTCTGTTCAGATAGTGGTGAAGACTTGATTAGCACTGAAGTATTAACTGTTCATTCTTGGCCAGATTTAGATGCTACTTCAAAGTTGATCTGCTGATGGAGCAGTCACTGTGAGCTACTTCAAATTCCTCGCATTCAAATTTCAGCACCTGCGCTTGAGACAAAGGATGATTTGTAGTGTAGGTTCCAAGTGTTGCTACTCCACTTTGAAAGATTGCCCTCTGAAACAGTCCTTTTGCTTGTGGAGAAAGAGTCTGTTCAAAAAGAGACATACAGTATGCATGTAAAATTCACTTATGAAATACTCAAACACTTGAATTACTCAGTATTAACTTTGAGGTGCTCATATTTGAGCTTAAACGAATGTTTAGCAGGTTGATTTGACATGCTGATTTCTTCCTTACCAGTATGGATGCACTGATTCCTCCAGCAGATTCTCCAGCCACTGTGACCGTCTGCGGATCGCCACCAAAGGCTTCAATATTTTCCTGCACCCATCTCAGGGCTGCCAGCTGATCCAAGAAACCCCAGTTGCCCTGGGCGTGTTCATCTCCAGTGCTTCGGAAGAAGAAGAGTTGACACAATTTCTTTGGATTGCTTTAACTTCATAATATCCACCACATGACTGATGAACCAGCTGGAGTTATTATTGGCAGCAGATTGTGAGTTAGCTCAACCTTTTGTTAGAAATAATTTAATTAATGTGATCAGGTGGATGTTGAAAGGTTAAGGAAAACAACTCCTTACCTCAGGAAACCCAGAATGCCGAGTCGATACTGAATAATAACCATCACTATGTTTTCATAAACAGCTAGTGGAGCCCCATCATACTGTGAAGCTGCACCCATAGCCAGACCTCCTCCATGGATCCACACCATCACCTGAAACACAGCCAAAGAACCTGCATGTCACACCTGACTGATGCCGATTGGAGGAAAAGGAAAAGGTAACGCTGGTAGTTAAAGTAGTAGAAGCACACGGTCAAATGGAAAGCTGCTTATCCATGTCATCAGTCAAAACAGAGATGCCCAGACTTCCTTCTCGACAGCCAACTCAACTTCTTCAGCGTTCTTTTGCTTTCCCGAGCAAGCCAAGAGAGATAATATCACCAGCAGTTCTGGACCCACACCAGGGTGTCCTCCAAGTTCACAATCCCCGAAGCCTAAATCCTTCTAATCTAGGAGACATAACCAAATCTGATTACTGAACTGCCACAAATGACTCGGCTCTCATCTCAGTCCTTTCTGTTTCGCTTATTAACAGGATCCACAGGTACTTGGGAACCCTTCAGGTCTCCTTCACTCTGGGCATCAACTTATTTTTTTAAGCCAGAGTGGGCACTCCACCCTCTTTCAGATAAAAATCACGACTCAGAGTTTAATCTCTACTTCACACTGGCAATCATCACTCACTGAAGCCAGCAGTGCCGCATCATCAAAGCAGAGATGAGATCCTGAAACCACCGGTCGTGGCACCCTCTGTCCCTCAGCTGTAACCAGACATTCTACCCATAAAAGTTTGAAACAGACTCAGTGGCAAAGGACACCCCTGCTGGAGTCCAACACCCACTAGGAACATTATGCCTGGAAATGCAAACCAAGCTCTCACTTTAATTGTACAGTTGGCCCATAGCAATGGCCCTGATATCCCATGATCCTGAAGCACACTCTGCAGGACTTTGTTCTACCTGAATCTGATATTCACTATCAAACAGACTCTCCTCAGTTCAGTTTTTTTAAAAACCTTGGTGACCTCAGTGACTGTGATGGGCGAGTCGTACGCCTCGTGTCCGGGCTCTGTCGTCCCTGCAGTGGCCGTGTCAGTGGGGATCAGGGGACTCTCACTAAGATGTGTCCATAAAGATCTGTATGTGACTGCTTAACCTTTACTGTTGCAAGAACATATAAGGCATATTTGGAGATAGCAGGACTCTGAGCGAGATACCTCCTTAGTCTGGATTTAGATGCCTGAAAACAATGCACAACATTCTGCTATGCTTCCTCTATTGAGCATGTTTTACTAAAATGTGTAGCCATGGGAGAAAGGCTTTGTTAGAAGTGTTAGCCACTCAGGAGCAACATGAACCCCACATATTAAGAAGGCGTCGCTTGGACGATGCAACAGGAGGTCTGGGGTGAGCTTTGTGTTGCTGTCTGTGAGGCTTCAGTTAAGGTGGTAAATATTTGTTGACCTGGAGGGAGTAGGGTTGTAATGGAAAAGAGCCCAGGACACCAAACTCATCTAGTGCAGAAAATGGCATCAGTGCTGTATTATACTATATAAAATATTAGACTATGATACTCTGTATCCCTGCACCCTGCCACTTTTACTCACTGGAAGCTTGTTCCCCTTAGTTGCTTCAGCTGGAGTGTAGACATTCAGATACAGACAGTCCTCTGAAATTGCTGGTGGGATGAATTCGAGCGACATGGTTTTTGAAACATTCACAACTAGTTCAGGATCCTGGATACACCTGAAAAGGAGACAGATGAGGGAGAGTGTGTGATTCAGAATGAGGGTGCTGTTAAAATGTTCTGCTCTTTGGTGACTTACATAGATGGCTCTTGTGTGCCGTCTCTCACACCTTCCCAGGGTTCCTCAGGCCGCGGAGCAGAGAAGCGGCGGTCTCCCACGGGTGGCTGTGCGAAGGGTATCCCCAGGTAGCACTTTGCCCTCCTCTCCGTGCCTTTCACACTAACATATTCTCCTCTGATTTTACCATTTTTCGCCGAGACCACGAGGTCACTTCTCCCTGCTGAAGAAAGAAGTGTGCCGTTAATGGGCTGTGCATCTAAGTCTGAAGAAGTCTTTTAACTTAACCGCTTAACAGCTTTTAGTTTCTCTGTTTGTAGAAGTTCAAGGTGTAAGAAGCAGATTTATATCTGCAGGTCACATGACTGAAAAGTATCATTATTCATTATTATCATTATTCATCAGTATCATTATTCATTAATCATTATATCATCATTATTCATTCAGTTTAATGCAGTTTTATTTATACATCGCCAAAACACAAGAGCATAATTAATTATTAAGTAAAAAATATATGCTCCGTATAAACTGAATGTATGTCAAACAAGTACACTTTATTTTCTTAAAATTAACATTTTACGTTGCACTTACATGACACACTGACATGGAAAACTGAAATTACTTAAAGTCAACATTTTGGATAGTGTGTAAAATACAAATAAAAGCAGAATGCAATGATATACGAATTTCAAACTCATATTTAGTTCACAACAGAAAATAGTCAAATATGTCAAATGATTAAAACGAGGGCAAATTCAAATTCAAATTTATTCAAATTCAAATTTTATTTGTCACGTACACAG